TATGTATCGTTAGAGGCCATCCATAAATTACCTTAAATTATTTTGCAAATTGAAATCCCACCATTTTTTTTATTTCAGACACTGTTACATACATTAGCACCAATGTTTCTACTGGTCGTAACAAAAAGCTGGACCCCACCATCCCCTTAAAGACTTACTTAATTTGTCAATGACTTTTTACATTAATTGAATATTTTTTTGAAAAATTACTTTTATTTTTTACAATTGGTTATAAATACTTTAGGAGGTGTTTTCTGAAGTCATAAAGAGTTAAAAAATACAATAAAAAAAAATAAAATTTTTTTAAACTCTAAAGTGTAGTAGTACCTTAAACGAACATAATCAAATTTTAAAAACTATCAGTCATATTGTATCCACCGTTTCCAATTTCTAAAAGTGATTTCAGATTCGTTATCATTGACCCAAAACCCCCTAAGTAACAAGTTATAAGGGAATCGCATTAAATTCGAAAATTTCTTACGCTTGTTTAAAAGACCCCTGTCGAAAATTTCACCAACAAATGTGGGTTTCATGATGTTTAAAAATAGTTTTATTTTGCTCAAACACAGATCTCAGTATCTTTAAACACACTTCTATAATTAAACATATTTTGAACACACTTCTGACATACTTTTTATAGTAAGTAAATCATTCATTCAACACTATTTAAACATGTTACTCACATTAAGAGTAAACAGTCATAAGACATTTTCCTGACATACATATCAGGGTTCAAACCATGTTTTGAAAACACTAAGTTCACAAACTATTGTATATTTTACAATGAACATACTTGAAACTATCTTTTGACAAACATTTGTATGTTTGTTCAGTATTACTAAACAATGATTTCACATGCTTTGGAAAACAATGAATCACTCAAGTTGTATGTTAATAGTATGTTTAGAGAACACTCTCTGAACAAGTATGAACACGGAAAGAAAGTTATTTTCAAATTTTACAAAAATATTTTACAAGTGTTGGACAAAATGCGACAAAGGTAAATATTTATATCAGAAGTATTAAACTTTAAAAAAACTTATATGATATTTAGTAAAGTTATATAAAGTATCATAAACTTGTAACAAATTTTAATATAACTTTACTAAATTTTATAAGTTTTTTTAAAGTTAAGTATTTCTGATATCAAAATTTACCTTTATCGCATTTTGCCCTACACTTGTAAAATACTTTTATAAAATTTGATAATAACTTTCTTTCCGTGTATATGTTTCATTCGTATATTATCCCAGCAAACACGTTCTATAAGTATTCCATAACAGTGTGGTCACCGAAGTGCGGTCACAGTGTTATAGGACACTTGTTATAAATTCATTAATTAAGCTTAAATTTATTGCTTTAATATTTCATTTAAAAATTAATTTTTAAGCTTTTCCTTATACTTTTAACTTTGAAAATTAACATTCTTCAATAACATAACATATTAAATATAATGTATATTATACGTAAAATAATTATACTATTGTTGCAAATACAGTATCCTTTTTTCAAGTTACATAGCACATTTTCATAGTTCCTTCGTTACATATGTAAATTCTAAACTTCCTTTCATGAGCCTCCGTGGCGCAGTTGGTAGAGCGTTCGATTTCTAATCCACTCCTAGCTGCGTCTTGCGTTCGAGACCTCGTGATTGTAAATATTTAGATAAATAGCGAAACAAATTTTCGTCGACAGGTATAAACATTCCAAGTATGTATGACATGCGAGAACAGAATGGAATATTTTTTTACTGAAATTTAAATATTTTTTTAATGGCAGATTACTATAAAAACATAAAACTTTAAAAAGGTTGTAAAGAGAATGTTAAGTGTGTGTTTAATTAGTAGATCAGGGTTTCATGAATGTGAAAAGAGTGTTTCAAGAGTACTTTTACCTGAACATTGTGTGTTCTATAAACACACTTCTGACACACAATTCAGTGTTTTCCAAACACTCAAAGCGTTCCAAAATACACGGATTAGACACACTTTATTGTGTTCACAAACACATAAACGACACACAATAAACATTCTATAAAACACTATTTAAACACGCTTTGCCCAAGATATTTTCGACAGGGACGTTATATGGATATGTCTTTTGGACTCTGACAAAAGATGTCTTAAAAATGTTTTATGTGTTGCCCATTAGATGTCTTTAAGATGTCTAAAAGACGTTATTGGAAGTTTTCTAAGTTAAATTCATTTTATTGAGAAGTTAGATCGTAAACTATGTAGAGGTTCATATCTCTCTTGAACGGCTAAGGTGCTTAACCCCTTCAGTGTGTAGCTAATATATAACAAAATGGTCCCAAAATGTGTAAGACATTCTTGTGAATAAATTTTCATGACACTACACTGAAAAACTGTTGGTAGAGCAGTTCCGCTATTAACTGTTGTGCAGCGCTGCTTAACTTTAAACTCACAGCTCTATCAAAATTAGGCGAGTTGCTCTCCTAAACTTGACTACCAATGGCGTTGGCGAGCGGCTGCTTGACAAAAAGGTCAGCAGCTCTATCAAAAAGGAGAGTTGCTCGCCCAAAAAGGAGAGTAACTCGCCCAAAAATAAAGTGAGCTGTGCGTTTCTTTTTAACGCAGCAGTTCACCGCATTGGGCGAACAGCTCTACCAACAGTTTTTCAGTGTAGGTACTAAGGGGTTTTTGGGTCGCTGATTACGATTCCGGTGTTAGATTTCAAAAATTCAAAATGGCGGATCCAATATGGCGGACACGATTTTGAAAAATTCATTGGATTCGATTAAAATTCGTTACTCGGGGATTTTCGTGGTCGCTGATTACGAATATGACATTAGTTTTTTAAAATTCAAAATGGCAAACCAAAATGGCGGACACGATTTTGAAAAATTCATTGGATTCGCTTAAAATTCGTTACTCGGGGGTTTCGTGGTCGCTGATTACGAGTCTGTTATTAATTTTTCAAAGTTTAAATGGTAAGAATTTTTAAAAGAATCTATCCACTTTTGAAATTTTTCAAAAATTTTGGCCGCCATTTTGTATGAAAAATTATTTATTTTGAAAATCTTACTTCAGAATCGTGATCAGCGACCCCAAAAATCCCCGAGTAAGAATTTTTAAAAGAATTTATCCAATTTTGAAATTTTTCAAAAATTTTGGCGGCCATTTTGTATGAAAAATTATTTATTTTGAAAATCTTACTTCAGAATCGTGATCAGCGACCCCAAAAACCCACGAGTAAGAATTCTCAAAAGAATTATATATTCTGCACTTTTGAAATTTTTCAAAATTTTTGGTGGACATTTTGGATGAAAAATTATGTATTTCGAAAATATGACTTCCGAATCGTGATCAGCAACCCCAAAAACCCCCCCACAGCACCGAAACTTTCCTAAAAATTTATTAAATATTTACTTGCAATATTCGGCATATTTAACTGAAAAGTTTAGTGAAAATTGTGTAAAGATTTAAATGTCCCGATTAAATAAATGTTTAGCGCGAAGCTTTCCTGAACGTGTAATTATTATTAGGCGAAAATGTAATTTACGTGTTCAGGAAAGTTTCGCGCTAAACATTTATTTAATCGGGACATTTAAATATTTACACAACTTTCAATAATAACATTGGAATTACATATTCTGAACATTGCAAGTAAATATTTAATAAATTTTTAGGAAAGTTTCGGTGCTGAGGGGGCCCCGAGTAAGAATTTTTGCGAATATACGTTCAGATTTGTTTCGAGTTATGAATTTTCGAAAATTTGGATTTTTAATTGTAGACCTATATTCAGTAGCTTATAAGTCCGAAAATATTGAGTTTAGGAAAAAGTTATCAAAGAATGAAAGTTTTAGTTTTCTTTCGACTTTTAAGAAATGTAAACAAAAATATTTTTTTTTATTTTCCTATTAAACAAAAATTTTTTTTTATAAAAAAATTACTTTTTTTTAACTTTGGGCCGGATTTTTTTAATTTTTTTGTACCTTATAATATAGAGAAGATTTTCCAAAAAGTCCCGAAATGGGCCTGATGTGTTAAATGAGTTTTAAAATATTTTCAAAAATCACTTGCAAGCATCACAGTGGGATTTTTTTTACATTTAACTTTTTAAAACTGTTTACAGCGCAGACCCTTTAATTTAAAACAAAGAACACTAAAATATATTAAAAATTATACCTTGTAGACAGTTTTAGAAAGTTAATTGTAAAAAAATCCCACTGTGATGCTTGCAAGTGATTTTTGAAAATATTTTAAAACTCATTTAACACATCAGGCCCATTTCGGGACTTTTTGGAAAATCTTCTCTATATTATAAGGTACAAAAAAATAAAAAAAATAATTAAAAAAAATCCGGTCCAAAGTTAAAAAAAATTAATTTGTTTATAAAAAAAAATTTTTGTTTAATAAGAAAATAAAAAAAAATATTTTTGTTTACATTTCTTAAAAGTCGAAAGAAAACTAAAACTTTCATTCTCTGATAACTTTTTCCTAAACTCAATATTTTCGGACTTATAAGCTACTGAATATAATAGGTCTACATTTGGTCTACATTTGGACTTTTAATTGCAATTAAAAGTCCAAATTTTCGAAAATTCATAATTCGAAAATTTGGACAGTTAAACATAAATAAAAAAATACGTATCTGTTTTTTTTCGATACAGAATAGAAAAAAAATATTTTTGGCCGATTTTAAGAGGTCGACTTAAATCTCACGTGGAATTGCCCATATATCTTTCAAATATCTTTCTGTCTTCTTCCTTCTAGATACTAAATAACATTATCGGTCTCTGTTTATAACGCAGAAAATTGCTTTCTTTCTCTTTCAAAAGTAAATAACATTAGAATAGTCTCTCTTTACCTAATTTGCATATTACATATCTACTCGTTTCATAAAAGGAATAAAATTTACATTTTATAATGTAAATATATGTAAAATAAGAATTTAAGTTATTAAAAGAAAATTTAACCTTTAAACTATTATCTTGACGATTAAATAATTGTAAATAATAATAATTTCTTATTTTATAGATTCAAATTGTTAATGGTGTCATTCTCATCTCGTGGAGGAGAGAAATTCTTGAAAGACAAATTGATTTTGGTGCGAAACTGGGCCACATTGTCCTTGCATTAGCCAGAATGGAATTGAAAAATTTCTATAGAAGTGTCATGCCAGTAGCGGAATATTTCGATGAAAATAAAATGTTACTGGAGGTATAATTTCTTAATTTCTTTTTTAGAAACTATTTTTTATATCTAGGGGAGAGGGCCCTAAGGTGGTCACCCATCTTTTGAACGACTGTAGATTTCAAATGGAATTATATATAAAGGACAATAATACGGCGTTTGAAACTTTATCTTATCACCTAACTTCCTATCATAAAGTTTTTTTCATTTCATTAATAAAAAAAAAGTTATGGCACTTTTTAAAAAAAGTTGAAAATTCGACTTTTAAAAAAGTGGCCCCAAGGTGGTCACCATACAAAAATTCGCTAAAAAAGTTTTAAAAAAATGTAAAAAACGTACTATTAAGTTGTTTATTTAATATTAATTGTTTTTCAGGATCACAGAAACATATTACATAATATTTTTTTTGCACTTTGTCCTTTCGTCAAAAATGATACTTTTTGTGTATGTATTAGACAGGTAAAATTTTGAAAATAATTCTATTTCATTATTATTCATCATAAAACTTAAAAATTGATAAAATTCACATTCACAGTGATAAATCTTGATAAATCTGGCGTATAAACACATTTTCATAAAAAATCAAAAGTGACCACCTTGTGGCCAAAAGAGTGTCCACCTTAGGGCCAAGACACAATTTTTTAAACGTTAATGAAAAAATTTTTTAAAGCACAATATTAATTATATTCATTTGGAATATTATTGTACGATATATAAAGATAATTTTAACGATTTTTACTAATTTAAAATGGTTAATTTCGATGATTTTAACACCCTGAGAAAAAAATTTCTCGATCATTTAAAAACAGAAATTTTACGACGTTCACGTTACAAAGAGACTCATACGACTATTTACCTGAAAACTTTACTTAAACTTTTGTCTTCTCAAATAATAACAATAACAAAAAACATTTGAAGATACTAACTAATATACAAAAATTTTCTTAGGGTGACCACCTTAGGGCCCTGACCACCTTGGGGCCCTCTCCCCTACGAAAAATTTAATAACTTTTCTGCGAATAGCATAAATTTTCTTCTATTATTTATTTTCAATTCCAATAAAAAAAATATTCCAATCAAATTATATTGATTTCTTTCACATAAGTATTAATAATTTGCATAAAATAAATTATAATCTATAATTAATTACATGTAACTGATTTTGTTTTTTTAAATTTTACCAGAAATAAAGTAATTCTTTACATAAATATTAATAATTTGCATGAAATAAATTGTAATCTATAATTAACTACATGTTACACTGAGAGAAATGGACCCAAGTTAATACAACCAGAAAAAAGTGGTTAATGAAATGCAGTTACTGGACCAACTTAAAATTGTCTTTGTAACATGTTTTCTGGTTACAGTAACCAGAAATTTGGTTATGTTAACTAAAATTGCCAAATTGCTAAGTTGCCAATTGCTAGTTGTGACAACCATGATCTGTGGTGAAATTTGTCTTCAACTACGAACACATGTTATAGCACAACTTTAGTGAAAAGTTGTAGGAAAATGAAACCTGGTTGTAGTAACCAGTCAATTTGTTAGATTTCAGTAGTCGGGAGCAAGCGCAGTACGTCTTTATACTTTCTGCTATAGTTTGACTTTTAACACAACGTAGAATGCACTCATCGGGCGGTATTCATAGTCCCGACTTAAGCAAGGACTTAAGCTTTGCTTGATCAAGTCGGTCTTATTCGAATGAGTCGAGCTTAAGACCGTATGAATTCATAGTCAAAAATAAGCAATTGCTTGGTAAAGGAAATGCAGCTTAAGAACTTCTTGACCAAGCAAATGCTTAAGATGATCTTATTGAGCGTTCGGCTTTTTCCGTCAATATTCTCTTGTATCTACCAATAAGCGATAGTAGATAGCTTATATTCATTAGAAAAAATGACGCTAATGCACATAAAATATCTGATAAGGGAGAGGAGGGGGGGTCAAAAAAACTGAAAAATATGCATATTTTAATATTTTTAGGATAAAAGTTATAAAGTAAAAGGATACAAGAAATGACTACCAGAATGATGAAAATTGAAATATTCTTATTCCTCACGAAATATTATATTTAGATTCTAAATTTTTCTGTATTAAAAAATAGAAAAAATTATTTTAACTATTATTATATTGTTTCTAAAAAAAATTATTGAGTCAGAATCAGTGAAATTTTAAAAAAAATAAGGAGTATTTTTATAATCGAAATGAAAAAAAGCATTTTTATTTGGCCATTGTCTCTAACAAACAAACGACAGAAAAAATTTTGTTTAAAAAAAGTTATTGTAAAATGAATTTTTTTGCAACTTTTTATAAAAAAATCTTATTTTTCCTAAAACAATGAACCAAGAGTGCATATAAACGGGGTAAAACAATTAACTTTCATTTGGAACTACAAAATTTTTAAAAATAGTATTTTTTAATAATTATTTAATATTAACAGTTTTATTTCCTCATAGGGTGTCGATTTTCTTAGAATCAATTATTTTTACAAATTTTCAAGTATAGCGTATATAAATATTTCAACATGGGGAACAAATTCTCCGGATGTATGTGTGTGGATGCATATCGAAATGTTTTTTCAACATTTCGATGAAAAAAAATACTTTTTATTTCTCGTGAAAATTTTATAAATTTTGAACCTTTTTTCTAAATTATTAAATTTTAATTATTATTAAATTGTTTTTAACAAAAAATCTTTTCATTTTTATTATAAATATTTATAAAAAGACAATAAGTAATTGCTTAAGTCATGTAAAGCGTTGACTTAAAATCATAACCTCAATTCGTTCAAATAAGTTCACCGGCAATGTCAAATAAGATCATCTTATTTGACTATGAATACTTGTCATTCTTAAGATGGGACTATGCATCTCAAAATCGAAGCATTTACTTTATCAAGCATATGCTTAAGTTGCGGCTTAAGGCAATGCTTATTGCACGACTATGAATCTAGGTGGCAGCTTAAGTCGCTGCTTAAGAAATAAGTATCGACTATGAATACCGCCCATCAAGTTTTTATTTTAAAGTATTTTATGGTTTTCCATCTTTCTTCTTATTAACAAAAGTGTGTAAAGTAAAAGTGAATATGATGCTGTTGATGTAAATCTTTTTACTTATTTCAGTGACAGTATTGTTGACAATTAATTAGATAAATGCAATTAATGATTTCATATAACCTATATGTTTTTGACGATTTTTAAAATTATTTTTATGAAAACAAAGGATGGACTACATTACGTTCTGGTACAAAAGGTCCAAATCAAAAGATCCAAACCAAAAGATCCAGAAAATTAAAAATCCAAAAGGGCAAAAACTCCAAACAAAAAAAATATATTTTCTATTGTTTTTATTTCATTTTTTTTAATTTAAAAATTCAAAAAGTTAAAAAGTGCAAAAAAATATATGTTTTATTGTTTTTATTGCTTCCTTATAAAACCCATTTTTTAAAATTGCTTTACGATTTTTTAAAAAAAAGTTATGTATATTTGAAATTTTTTTATTTAGACAAATGTAGGTATAAAGAAGTTCAAAATGGCATTTTATTTCAAATCTACATAACTTTTTTTTCAAAAAACGTAAAGCAATTTTGAAAAATGGGTTTTAAAGCTTAGATATAGTACTATACGATGCAATTTCGCAAATTGAAAAAAAATTTTGGTTAACCAAAAAAAATTCCGAAAAGTGGCCAAAATAGCCATTTTTTGGCTATTTAAGTCAATATTACAAGAAATCCTGACGTGATAGGCTATTTTGGAAATCGGATTCGTATTCTACGTCAAAAAAGCTATAAGAGTCACCTACCACTTTTTCTGTAACAGAACTAAGCCAAAATTTGCAGGCCTGTGTAATTATACATATTTTGGACAATTTGCAATTTTGGACTTTTTGTACTCTTGGATTTTTTGTACTTTGGATAAATAAATTTTTGGACCTTATGGATTGGACCTTTCGTCTTGGACCTTTCAGATTGGATCTTTTGTACCCCAATCCTACATTATTTATAAGTATTGTGAAAATAAATTTTAAAATAAGAAGATGAAAAAATATATAATTTTAACCTCTTAATCATAGATAACATATTGTTTCCTGTTATAGCTTTACATTCCCATCCACAATTTCAGTTTCAACCATGATCCTGGTTACTATAACCAGGAATTAAATTTATATTAACCATGTTTTATCGTCAAGGCAACTATGTTCAGTCATGTTCGAGCAACTTGAATCGTAGTTAAAGACGTTTTTCACCACGAAAATTTGGTTGTATGAACCAGGAATTTCTCTCAGTATACTGATTTTGTTTTCTAATTTTACCAGAAATAAAGTAATTTGAACTGAATTTTTAATAGATTAATGGAGAACGTGATCCAGCTGAAGTTTTTATCGATTTCCGAGAGGCTGTTTTGAGAATTCTTGGATTATCCACTAATGAAGAGAATTATGACCCCCGTTCAATGCAAGCAGAGGTAATTAATATTTTTCGACTATATTTGTTAATTAATAACATAATAGAAAGTATAGGGGCGACTGGGGCGAAAAGTTAAATTTTGCGTAAATGATTTTTTTTAGACAATATAATCCGCTTAGATGCAAATATTTATACATCAATATTGTAGGCCAACTTTTGCTGGGGAAAAAAGTTAAATTCTATTTTTAGCCTACTAAAACTATTTTCTGATAGGTGTTAAGTATAGTAGATAAGTTAAAGTATACGTAAACAAGTAATTTGGTTAATAAAAGATCTTTGTTTACTTAACAAAAGCTTTAGAATAGTTATAAAGTTAATAAATTGAAATTTCAAAAAAAAAAAAAATTTTGGTTTATTTTACGTAAGCGGTCTTGTTTTTTGATAGAGTACTTGCCTAATGTCAAATAAATCATTTTTAAACAAATAAACCAAAAAAGAACGAAAAATAAAAAAAAAATTTTAATAACATGTAAAAATACATTTAACTTTTCGCCCCAGGGTGCGTTCTTGGCTTTAACAACAAATATAAAAAATCTGACTAAAGATATTTAGCAAATACCTTTAGGTATCTCTTCAGGGGACCCAAATAATAATGTAAAAAAATCGCGGTGAGAATAAATGCAAAAAATATACTTAAAAGTTGATATTTTCTTTTACGAAAAAATTTTCAAAAGTAGGGTGAAAAAAAAATTTAAATATGGACACCACAAAAATTAGCAGAATGTCACATAACTCCGGACATTTATTTAGGGTGATAACACCCTTCTATAATTAAAATTGCAATGCTCTATAACTATTTCCGTTCGAAAGATAATGAATTTTTACTGTTTTCACGCAGTTTAACCTTTCGCCCCAGTCTCCCTTAAACATTTAATTATTTAATTTAAACCAAGTATTATAATTTATTTGATTTATAAATAAAAGTAAGGGAAGTGTTTCGGTTGTGAGCACCCTTTTGTTTTTGCCTCATAACATTTGTCCATGTGCATATTATACAAATATATGTGTACGAATTTAAAGCTAGAGGTCTAAGTTGACTGTCAGTGAAGAAATTAAATTGATTCCTTTAAATAAAAAAGTTTTATTAGAAATTTAGTGAAATGGAAATTTTTTGACAAAAAAATTTTTGTGCCCGTTTGTGGGCACCCTTGAAAAATCCGCTAAAAATGGAAAAATATTAAAGGAAACCAACACAAATAAAGAAGAAATGAAAGTTTCTTTGTTTTAAGAGACTTAGCCGGCATAAAGAACAAAAATGATGACACGTTTTCACACTATGCTCATCGCTAACAGAAGCATAATGCTAGCATGTGAAGTAGCTGGCCCGCATATCATAACGCACTTCTAATGGACTGAACGACTATATTCATCGCATTTAATGGAGTTTGCGGCTGTCAATTTTCTTGGCAGAAAGTTTAGATAGATGAGACAGTAGTCCACATCATTGTCAGATGGTAGAGCTACCTTAAGGGGACCTCCCCTTAAGGGTTCCCATCGCGGGAGTCAAAAAAATTGATTTCTTTTTTATTGTACTTTTTGAAAGCTATATATATGTAGAATATGTCTGTATAACGATTTTTTGATCCGAAGAATATTTTTGATTTTATAGAGTCTTGAACTCACCGGCGTCCCGAGCACTAAGTAACAAATGTCAGGCAAATCAAATCAATTTTTAAAAATTTTGCAAATCTGACCTCAGAATCGTAAAGAGCGACCCTAAATACCTATAGATATTTATCATATACGCAAATTGAACAAAGAATTGCAAAGAATACAATTATTATTATTACAATTATTTTTCAAACTGGTGGGCATCGTAGCGTCTAAACTATTTAATCAACCAACTTCGGGTTTGTGGCCTATTAAAGGTGACTAAATTCTACTGGGGTTATACCTATAATATGATAAAATTGTTAACAATAGAGATTTTTACAAGAGGTCAAATATGGAAAAATAATGCAAAAACGGAGTTTTTTTAAAAATGTGTCCGCCATTTTGTCATTTTGTTAACTTTTTAACTATTTTATAGGTATAACCTATTCTTTAGGATGTCACCTTTATAAAAAATTTTGTGTTTTTGTTTTAGACTAAAAATTGCGCAGTGTAGAATGCCCACCGTTTTCCCTATTTAAAAAACATTATTTTCTAGATGCGCCATATTGGCCGCCATTTTGCATCTTTTTGAAAATGAAATATATGTTGTAAAAGTTCAAGAATGTATCTTTATTTAGAAAAAAACTACATCGCTAAGTCATAGTCGTTCTTCGCAAAAAATTGTCAAAGTTTGTGCTTATTTTGGCCTCCGCAATGAGAACCTCCCCTTAACATAAAGGTGCCCACAACCGGGAATGACAGTCATTTTTTAAAAAGACCAACACATTTTGTGATGCAGGATTTTGGTTAAACACGAAGGTAAATCACAAAATATAATGACAACACTGCAAAAAAAATTAAACCCTTTTTTCTGAACGAATTAACACTCATATGTTGCTCTTCGAAAACAATACAAAATTACTTTTCTATTTATTTAATGCAAATTTTCTTCATTATGCTCACAGCTATTACACAAATGCATATATTTGTTTCGTTATCAATAAGAAAAGTCCGTATTGTCAACGAACACGACTTGCAATACTTAGATCAGTAAAGTCTGCTTGCCGTCGAAGTTTACGTAGGGGTGCCCACAACCGGCGCACTTCCCCTAGAATTTGTCTTAGAGTTTACTTAATTCTTTAATTGTTTTAAATAAAAATTAATGTTATAACATTTTACTTGAACCAAATAAAATTTATTTGAAACGAAATAATTAGTTTGCTCTGAGTCAGATATTCCTTTTTTCTGAGAATAAATAAGTAAATAATGTAATTAGTGAATAATTGAATAGTAAATTAGTAAATATTTGAATAGTAAATTAGTAAATAATTCAATACCACATTAGTAAATAATGTAATAGTAAATGTTTTATTAACAGTTCCAAAAGGAATTTTCTCCCTAATATATTTAAATATATTTAAATATTTATTGATAATGTAAAAATTCAATAATCCAAAAATTAAAAATCAATGCTGATTATAATTTCTTAAATATTTCATTTTTGTTAAATAGGTGGAAGTTGAACGAACAGAAGAGGATCTGGATGAATCGTCAACAGTTCGTGAAGTACCAAATGAATCAGTTGTAAATGAATTGCCAGCTTCTCCAGTATCTCCAAATATTAAACCATTAAAAACAGCAGACCATCAGAGAAAAGGTCTTCCCGCTTTTATTTGGGTAATTGGTGAGTAAAATATCCACTAAAAATTACTTTCTTTATTTTTTTAAATTCCCTACTGGAAGTAAAAAGATAGAAAGAGATACATTTTTTTCTATCCCTTTGAAATAGCTACTTTGCATACCCAAAATACTATGCCTTTTTATCTCCAAATTTCTATCTCTTTTTATATCCAATAGATATTAGGGGATAATAGGATATAAAAAGAGATAGAAATTTGGAGATAAAAAGGCACAATATTTTGGGTCTCTTTTTATAACTGCATTGATTAATATCTATCACTTCTTTATCCCTGATAACCATATGTTTGGTAATACCTACACGGAGAAAAATGGTGCTGAGTTTCTAGTAAAAGTTCCTATGGAATAGTAATAATTCTACTTTTATATTAAAAATTACTATTCATAGTAAAATGTACTTCGCATGAAGTAAAAATTACTATTTCTGGTAGTAAAAATTACTAATAGTAATTATTACAGTAGTCACGTTTAAAAATTGCTTTAAGAATTTTAATTTTTACATCGTCATTGTAAATTTTATAAAATTTTGTATTACTTTTTACATTCGATATGTTGTAAATATTACTTGTAGAAATTCTAATAATTAATACTGCGGAAAATAAAGATTGCTTCTGCAAGAAGCAACTTTTACTATTGCAGAACAAACTTTTTACTCGTAAAAGTAGTAATCCGTACCACTACTGTTACACACCTATGTGTGTGATCACGTCACTACTGTCATGCGCAGCGACCGTAACCTGACGTCAAAGTGATCCAACCACGAGTTTACTAATGGTCCCGTAAAAAGTGTTCATTCTTCGAACCTGAAAAATTACGACTCGTTTGTCGAAATTTTGCCAAATGACTTGCGAATTGAAAATTTGTTAGTTACTTCTTGGATCTCTTTTAGTGGAGAAGTAGTAAAGCCAGGAATGATTTTAGTTCATTTTAACGAAGATGAACCAGAGTTTTACTATATTCATCACTTAATCACAAATAAAGTCGATGATTTAAATGTGATTGTTAGCACCATTGAATGTTATTTTCATGACCACTTTCAGGCGTACAAAGTTACTAGATGTGACTCCAAATTCAGTTTATTTAAATGGGAAAATGTATCTCAAGCAAAAATCACGTACATGACACGCCTTGGAAATAGTCAAGAGTACATTGCCAAAAAATGGTTTTAATTTAACATTTTCTATTTTGTATTTTATAGTTTGTATATATCTTATATTGATTATGTCGCAAATGTGCAATATAATACTCATTAAGTGTACTTTTTGTTATACAACAACAATATTTTCAATAAACTTATAAACAAAGAAAAATGTTTAGTTAACTTATTTAATTTTTAATTCCTATATGCATTTTAATTATTTATTAATTTCCAAAGTATGCAATTCATGTATAATCACTTAATAATTAGTTAATTAATTTTTAATGAATTACTAATTAATTAATAAAAAATATATAAAGAAATAAAATCATTAACATTATAATCTAATAATTTAAATAAGTAATTTTAAATTAATAATACTGTTTATTATTATTATTATCATAAATGTTTATATTTTAATTCAGTAACTTATCTAAATAAATATAATTTATGATTCACTTTATCGAAAAGAGATATATGCGGGTAACACGAAATTTTCTCCATAGCGATTGCGTAGCCGAGAGGCTTAGTATAAATGCGTGCGATTTTAGGTTGCGTTAGATATAAGTTAGGTAGGGTTCGAAACTGTATAGATGTTAAGATTTTCCGATATGTTAAGTTGTTAATTGTAAGTATGAATGTGAAAAAAAAGTAAAACTTATGAATAATGAATAATAATACACATGCACAGTGTTAATTACTTGAAAAAATATTTTTTGAACGCACTGATTATTTTATTTTAATTTATTAAAATAAAACGAGACAATATAGCTCTCTACATCAGCATTTTTTTTCGTCACGGCGTGGACAGACGCGCAGGCGCGCCGGCATTCGTTTCGCCCGTCGGTGTGAGGCGCGTCATTGTGTGGGTACGGATTACTACTTTTACGAGTAAAAATCTTTACCGAAATAGTAATAATTGCTCTGATTCGTAATAAAAGTTGCTTCGCTCAGAGTATTAATTGCTCGGGACATTTTAAATATTACTCGGCTTTTAATAAAATTTAGATTCCTTGAAGTAAATTATACTTTTTCAAAAAAGTAAAAATCGTTTGAATACGAAGCAAAAGTTACTATTTTTCGAGCAGTTTCAAAATTACTACTTAAAAGTAGTAATTTTTCGTCGAAAATAGTATAATTATTACTATTTATTTTTCTCCGTGTATATGTGACCTGGACAGTGAAAAGGGACCTTACGTGCGAAAACAAGTTTTCGAGAAAACAGCAGTTAAAGTTTAACTTACTCTCTAAATCTGAATAAGTGAAATTTCACTTATTTTAAGTGAATATTCACTTATTCCATGTTTCAAAACTCTTCCACGTAGAATAAGTGAATATTCACACATGAAATAAGTGAATTATATTCACTTATGACCGACAGATTAGCTCAGTCGGATAGATGCCTCGCTTGGCGGTCGTTTAAGGACCAAGGGTATAGTACCCTTGGTTCGCGCCCATTTGGCTTGGTATTTTTCCGGCACGTGAGATAATCTGAGCGGGAGGTTTGACGTCGAGGTATAATGATGTGCACCGTCGATTATTGTCCGGTACACACCATTAGAACTCGACTGTCGATAAACCGGTTGTACTCAGGAGAGGTTTTCTACAGTTTCCCTCTCCACTGGCGAGAAAACCCATTAGACGGGTGGTCCAGGCAAATGCGAGTACTCCTAATTTTCAAGTCGCTCTGTAGGCGCAAAACTTAGTATTAGGAAAATGTATATAAGAAATATTATGTAAGAGAAAATGTAAACACACTTGTATAGCTAGAGAAGCTTAAGACGGGTGTATAAACCAAATAAATAAAAATACATAAAAAAATATTCACTTATGAATAAGTGAATATTCAATTATGAGATAAGTGAATACTCAGACATTAAGAAGTGAATGTAAATAAATAATCAGGATCAATATTATATAAAAAAAATATTTATTTACTATCAACTATTTAACACTCTCTTCTCTTCTCATTATCAGTCTGAAACTTATAAACATATCAATTTTTCAACTTTTTTAAGCTAAATTCCCAAACGGCCACCCATCCTAATATTAACTGCAAGCAATGTCGCTTAACTTTTATGATCAACGAGAAACACTACAATGCCACTTAATAAGTTGCCTTATACTCATAGAAAATTATTGGGTGATACTTATAAAGAGTTAGTTTATTGGGTTCTACTTTAACGTTTTGTTTAAGATTTCTCTTATTATATATGTATATAAATACTTAGTAAATAAAAAGTTAGTTATTAGATTACTGTTAATATAATATTTAACTGAATATTTTTTAAAAAATTTATTAAATTTTAAATGACAATTTTTATAATTAAATAAAATAAAAAATTTCTAATATATTAACTAAAATGATAAAAACATTGTTTTTAAACATTTAAAAGTTGGTATAAATAATAAATTGTAATATAATGCGCAGATGAATTTCTTTTTAACTAAATATTTCACTTATACATAAGTGGGGATTTCACTTATTGATAAGTGAAGACAAGTTCACACATAAAAAAGTGAATATTTCACTTATGTATAAGTAGATTCTACTTATTAATAAGTGAGAAAAAGGTTCACACATGAAAAAAGTGAAAATTTCACTTATTCAGATTTAGAGAGTAATAAGGTTTTAGAGGTCGCTGATTACGAATATGATATCAAATTTGAATTTTAACTGTTGACAGTTGTGAAAGAAACTGTCAACTTTTCTAAATAATAAAAACTTATCGTCTTCGTTATTTTAATTTGTATAATAACAAAAAATCAGTTTTTTCGTATTTTTACTCTTGTTTCTTTTAACTTTAAAATTTTTTTTTAAACTTCTAATCAACTTATGATTTTTTGGTTTTCACCATCTTAAAGAGCGTTTCAAACCCTATCCGAATCAACAAAAAAGTAAAAAATTATTTTTTGACACGTAAGGTCCCTTTTCATAGACCAGGTCACATATACTTTCATCTCTTTTTATTTCTCTTTGCTGCAAATTTTTATTCTTTTTAATATATAAAGAATTAATTAACCAATATTATTAACAATATTAAAGACTTTCAATTGAATTTAAAAAATATTAAAAATATTTTTAGAGTTTTTGTACTTTTATTTATTATAAATAATTTGATTTGTTATAATAAATCAAATTATTTATGTATTTGTTATGAAATTATTATTTATTGTTTAAATCTATATTTCATTTCACATTATTAACTAACGTTATAGACATAACACTTAAAACTAAATTTGAAAAATCTCGCACGCATGAGGGCTCGAACCCTGAACCTTCGGGACGCAAGTCAGATACGCATATTGCACAGTCACACTAGCTTGGAAAATATTTTTCTTGAACTACCCTTTAAATTTCGGGACTGTATTGGTCTCTTCTTATCTCTTACTCTATCACTTTTTATCTCTCAGTTGATCTCCTTATTAAAGTTTTATAATTTCTCTTTATTTACCATGAAATCGTCAAATAAAAAAATTATTGGGATAAAAGAAGAAAAGGCCTTTTTAAATCGAATTGGAAAGAAATAGACTGATACAGAATCGAGGGAATAAAAAGAGAAAGGTATGGCATTAGAATAAAGTTAGGATAAAAAAGAAAGAAAGTGAATAGTACAATAATCAATAGAGATAAAACGAAGGTTATAAAAAGAGATTGAGCAACGGCAGGTTATAGAAAAGATTGAATTGAATCAAGGGTGATAGACTAAGATTAAAACCAAGGTGTAATGGTGATGAGTGAGTACTAAGATTAAAATGTGGATAAAGAGAGAGAAGTAAAAGACGACGCCCCCCGTCAATATAGTATTTATTCGAACGCCAGTGCAATAAAGCGTTAATTCAAAAATTGTGCTATATGGTGTCTATTCAATTGTTTGTCCAACATAGTCTTAATTCACATTGATTTTAAAAAAGTGTTAATTTAATTTTTAAAAGTCCATATGCTGCTTATATTCAAACAATTGTGCAATATAATTTTATCAATTCATTGTAATTTTTTTTTACAAAATATTATCGAAAAATGAAAAATATTGAAGATCTGTCATTTAGAATTAAAATTTAAATTTATACCCTTTAATTAACTCAACGTGAATTGAGATTATAATACACAAACAAATGTATTACACATAAACAAATACACACACATACCATATAGCACAATTTTCTGAATTAACGCTTTATTGCACTGGCGTTCGAATAAATACTATATTGACGGGGAGCGTCGATAGAATAAAAAGGATTGAAGGGTATAAAACAAAGGTTATTTAGAAAGATAAGGAAAAAAGTAAATACTAAGATTCGAATTGGGTTAGAAAGAGAATGAAGTAAGTAGTAGAAGGATAAAAACAGATAAAGTAAGGGTTATTAGAAGAGATTAATAAGGAAGATGAGATAAAAAAGAGATTCAGGGGATTTAAGAAGGAAAAGCCTGCACGGAGAAAAATAAATAGTAATAATTATACTATTTTCGACGAAAAATTACTACTTTTAAGTAGTAATTTTGAAACTGCTCGAAAAATAGTAACTTTTGCTTCGTATTCAAACGATTTTTACTTTTTTGAAAAAGTATAATTTACTTCAAGGAATCTAAATTTTATTAAAAGCCGAGTAATATTTAAAATGTCCCGAGCAATTAATACTCTGAGCGAAGCAACTTTTATTACGAATCAGAGCAATTATTACTATTTCGGTAAAGATTTTTACTCGTAAAAGTAGTAATCCGTACCCACACAATGACGCGCCTCACACCGACGGGCGAAACGAATGCCGGCGCGCCTGCGCGTCTGTCCACGCCGTGACGAAAAAAAATGCTGATGTAGAGAGCTATATTGTCTCGTTTTATTTTAATAAATTAAAATAAAATAATCAGTGCGTTCAAAAAATATTTTTTCAAGTAATTAACACTGTGCATGTGTATTATTATTCATTATTCATAAGTTTTACTTTTTTTTCACATTCATACTTACAATTAACAACTTAACATATCGGAAAATCTTAACATCTATACAGTTTCGAACCCTACCTAACTTATATCTAACGCAACCTAAAATCGCACGCATTTATACTAAGCCTCTCGGCTACGCAATCGCTATGGAGAAAATTTCGTGTTACCCGCATATATCTCTTCGATAAAGTGAATCATAAATTATATTTATTTAGATAAGTTACTGAATTAAAATATAAACATTTATGATAATAATAATAATAAACAGTATTATTAATTTAAAATTACTTATTTAAATTATTAGATTATAATGTTAATGATTTTATTTCTTTATATATTTTTTATTAATTAATTAGTAATTCATTAAAAATTAATTAACTAATTATTAAGTGATTATACATGAATTGCATACTTTGGAAATTAATAAATAATTAAAATGCATATAGGAATTAAAAATTAAATAAGTTAACTAAACATTTTTCTTTGTTTATAAGTTTATTGAAAATATTGTTGTTGTATAACAAAAAGTACACTTAATGAGTATTATATTGCACATTTGCGACATAATCAATATAAGATATATACAAACTATAAAATACAAAATAGAAAATGTTAAATTAAAACCATTTTTTGGCAATGTACTCTTGACTATTTCCAAGGCGTGTCATGTACGTGATTTTTGCTTGAGATACATTTTCCCATTTAAATAAACTGAATTTGGAGTCACATCTAGTAACTTTGTACGCCTGAAAGTGGTCATGAAAATAACATTCAATGGTGCTAACAATCACATTTAAATCATCGACTTTATTTGTGATTAAGTGATGAATATAGTAAAACTCTGGTTCATCTTCGTTAAAATGAACTAAAATCATTCCTGGCTTTACTACTTCTCCACTAAAAGAGATCCAAGAAGTAACTAACAAATTTTCAATTCGCAAGTCATTTGGCAAAATTTCGACAAACGAGTCGTAATTTTTCAGGTTCGAAGAATGAACACTTTTTACGGGACCATTAGTAAACTCGTGGTTGGATCACTTTGACGTCAGGTTACGGTCGCTGCGCATGACAGTAGTGACGTGATCACACACATAGGTGTGTAACAGTAGTGGTACGGATTACTACTTTTACGAGTAAAAAGTTTGTTCTGCAATAGTAAAAGTTGCTTCTTGCAGAAGCAATCTTTATTTTCCGCAGTATTAATTATTAGAATTTCTACAAGTAATATTTACAACATATCGAATGTAAAAAGTAATACAAAATTTTATAAAATTTACAATGACGATGTAAAAATTAAAATTCTTAAAGCAATTTTTAAACGTGACTACTGTAATAATTACTATTAGTAATTTTTACTACCAGAAATAGTAATTTTTACTTCATGCGAAGTACATTTTACTATGAATAGTAATTTTTAATATAAAAGTAGAATTATTACTATTCCATAGGAACTTTTACTAGAAACTCAGCTCCATTTTTCTCCGTGTGGGATAAAAGCAAGGGCATAAACAGAGATCAGTGTGTTCTTAGATTAAAGTAGCAATAAAAAGAGAAGAAAGCAGATAGGGAAAGTGTGCAATAGTGCAGTTCTGAACAGTGCAGTCATTAGTGAGTTGAGTAGACAAGGGGTTTCGGGAGGCAAAGGGAATCTGTGACGTCAAATACAGTGCCATGCTGTCCCCCATTTGATTATTTAGTATCATTTATAGTGGTGCCCGGTATTTAGTAGTGGGGGACCCTTACTTGACACGGACCTGAATGTTTTAGTTTTTGCTTGCTTCGAACAGTGCACAATATTCCGAGGCGCAGTAATTCTTCCCAAAAGACATTTGCTCGAATGGACATTTGATCGAACGGCATTTGATCGAATAGACATTTGATCGAATGGACATTTGCTAGAAAAGATATTTGATCGAAAAGTTATTTGATCGAATGGACATTTGCTCGAAAAGACATTTGATCGAATAGACATTTGATCGAAAAGTCATTTGATCGAATGGACATTTGCTCGAAAAGACATTTGATCGAATGGACATTTGCTCGAAAAGACATTTGATCGAATGGACATTTGCTCGAAAGGGCATTTGATCGAATAGACATTTGATCGAAAAGTCATTTGATCAAATGTCTTTTCGATCAAATGTCCATTCGAGCAAATGTCTTTTGGGAAGAATTACTGCGCCTCAATATTCCCGATGACTGCACTATTGAAAGATCCTACTGTATTTTTATTTTAATTATTATATTTATTATTACTTATTTATCTATTATACATTTATTTTAATTTTAATTTGCTATATTCTTTTTGTACTTTGTTTTAATTGTTTTTATATTTTTTTAAAGGATTATTTCTTTTGAAAAATTGCTAATGGGTGTAATTTTTTTTTATTAAAATTAAGATTGTAATAATATATGTAGGTATAATTTTAATTTAATAATTAAAAATTCCCTTTATAAAATTGATGAAAAATTGAAACAGGTGGTCCAGGGAGTAACAAAGCAACATTATGTGATCAAGCAATGAAAAATTCGCAAGGTTGGGCTCACGTTAGTATTGGTGATTTATTAAGGTCAATGACGTCGACTAATGTGACAGTTCATGATGCCATTATCGCTGGCGAAATGGTTCCTCAAGATATTGTCATGCAACTTGTTGAACAGCAAGTGCTCTTAAATCGTGATACAGACGGAATTATTCTGAGTGGATTCCCGAGAAATTTTGACCAAGTCGATGAATTTGAAAACAAGGTATTAATTAAATCATTCAATTCATTCAATGAAAACGAAAATCATTATAAAATTATTAATTAACTATAATAATCTTCGTATTTCATTCTTTCATTCTGTCTGTCCACACTTTGAAGTTAGTTTTTATGTAGGGTAAAGTGCGGATAGATGCCCCCTTTCTCAGATCTCCATTATGAAAGAAACTATATTTATGGATTATTAGTTTTTTTATACCTATTGACCATAACAATGTTACTATAAAGTTCCAATACGCTGGCACCCCGGGGTTATTAGTTATAATAATGTAAAAATTTCAGATTGCTGAAAATGTACAAAAATTTTCAAACCGCTGGACAAAATTCCTTATTACAAGAATCAAGGATATTTAACACGTAAGAATAAAAAAAAATATCAATTATTTTCATGTTTCAAATTAATCAAAGAAACATATTAGATCGGCGTTTTCTATTTTTTATACTAATTATTGTACTAAATGATAATAACTTACCGCGGGTGGCGTCTTACCCACCCAGGTGGGATATATGGCCAAATGAAGACCTTCTGTATTTTCGTTCTGATTAATTTATTATTTATTGTAGGTATTTGGTCCTTAATGATTATGTTAATGATAAATAGTAATAGTGTGTAAAAAGCGAATAGTCAATTAAAAATATTAATTAATGTAGGAAATTATTTGCTGATTAAGAATTTTAATTAAGGAAGATTTCGACTATATCAGCAATTAGTGACATCTATTAGACGTCAATTGAACTCTTTGGTTTAGAGTCAGGTGTTATTCTTAAGATAATTATTCCGATATGGTTGTCGGTTAATAATTATATTTTTGAAAAAAAATGCATGGTGCATTGGTAGGCGTTAGTCCCGCGAAAGGCAGCTATTAACTGGGGTTCGAGTCCTCACAGATGCACAGTGCAGTCGTTCACGCAGCTTATTTTTTCAGATCAAAAATTAAATTCAAAAATATAATTATTTACCGACAACCATATCGGAATAATTATCTTAAGAATAACACCTGACTCTAAACCAAAGAGTTCAATTGACGTCTAATAGATGTCACTAATTGCTGATATAGTCGAAATCTTCCTTAATTAAAAATATTAATATTTGTTGAATTTAAATTTTCGAAATTTTCGAATTGGGGGGCATCTATCCGCACTTTACCCTATATGTTTTTTTTTAATATTATTTGACAAATCGAAAATAAGCAGGTATTGTTTCATGATTAATGATAAAATAATATTTCAAATTAGAAAATTAAAAAAAATTATGATTAATAAATGAAAAATATAGGGGAGACTTGGGCTAAATGTTAAATTTTGCAAAAATGTTTTTTAGGCAATAAATCCGCTTAGATGCAAATATATACTTACATCTGAAAAAAATGTAATTGAATCAAGAAAAGTTTACTTCTATTGAATAGGGACAATTCCATTACTGTTTTGCATTAAGAAAATTATATTCTTGTCATAGAATACTTGGTAGGAGAGTACATGTCCTTGATCCAAGAACATATGGAATTCGATCAAGAAATTAATCAACATGTTAGAAATGTAGAATATATGAAGTCAAGATCATTTATAATCAAGAAAACATTTTCTTGATTTGAAAAAAATTTATAGATTTTAATCAAAAAAATATTTTCTCAATACCAGTGAATATTTACTTGAATTGTCCCCCCCTTAACCCAATCCCATCACTTCTAATTCTTAGGTCAAACATTTTTATTATTTAATCAACATTTATATTTTTTATTTAAATAATTAAATAATTTTCATTTTACAATTAAATTAAATTTAAATAAAATGAAATTTTATTTCTTTCTAGTTCGTAAATATGACCCCCAATCAGGTTCGCAACAATTTTTCACAAATCTAAAATTGGAAATTTAAATGTGTACCGAATTTTAGCCCGATAGGTGACGATATGTAGAAGTTCGGTATGGGGACAGGGTCATTTTTTTGACATTTTTTCTAAAAAATTAAATTTAATTCCTTTCTAGTTCGTAAATATGACCCCCAATCAGGTTCGCAAGAATTGTCCACAAATCTACAATTAGAAATCTAAATGCGTACCGAATTTTAGCCCAATAGGTTACGATATGTAGAAGCTAGGTAGGAGTTTCGCTTTGGCAGTCGAATGAGTCAGACATGTTTTGCGTTGCTCGAGCTCGCATAGTTTGAAGTTTCTATTAGTGGACCCTTTTTGTGATAAAGAAATTTTTTATGTGTTCAGTTTTCTCTCCCAGGTGTTCGTATAAGTGTAAAGTAAAGTGCATTTATACTTTAGTTCTATAAAAAAGGAATCATGCCGAGAGATGAAGAGGACAGTGAAAAGTTACAGCAAATTTTAGAAACAGTTAAGGCATTGACTGCCTCGAATGGAAAGATTCAGAGAGATGTTGATACGATAAAATCATCTCAAGCACTTCATCTGGAAAGAGTCGATGCTGTTGAGAAAAAAGTTGAGGAAATTAATAGAAAATTATTTGATAAGGAAAATGCTGATCGAACAAATAATATTTTATTGTTTGGAGTCACCGAGAAAGTAAACCCAGAACACACACTTGTAACAGAGGTTACACATATATTTGAGAAGGTCGGAGTTTGTGTACCTGATCTTTGTATATTAACAGCGTATCGCTTGGGAAAGTACACACAAGGAAAAACAAGACCAATAATAATAAAATTTTTGGCAACAAGATGGAAGAATCAACTCTTTGGAAAAATTTCGGAATTCAAGAAATTAAATCTTGGTATCTCAAATGATCTATTACGTGAGGAAAGAGCAAAACGCAAAACACTTGTCAAGGTGAAAGAATTTCTTATACAAGGAGGTCATGAAGTCCGAATTAAAGGATCCAGAATTGACAAAGATAATATTTTGCTTAGTGAAGCCGAGCTGCAAACTGTCTTACGAGAGGTTGAAAATAAGAAGGAATTTGGAGGTGAATCTGGAGATGAAATCTTAAAGGGTACTTCATCACAACAGCCAGCGCCTGTAATTTCGGACAAAGAAAAGAAGAAAAACACTGTAAAATCTAAGAATAATGGATCACTGGAGAATTTTGTGACGATGGGAAACACAGTCAAAAAGTCGGAAGTGCATAGCAGGAAGGGGTCAACAAGTTCTTTGGAAGTGACCCAAGATCTGAGGAGCGGTGAACCACGTAGTACGAGAAGCAAAAGGACCTAGCAACTAACAAACGAAAATGGATTTATAGAAGCCAGTATAAGAATAATATTTTGGAATCAACGAGGATTTAAAAACTACAAGGACATCGAGGGACATGTGCAGCAGTCGGACATCTTATGCTTCGTAGAAACTTGGATAATGTCTCCGGGAGTGTCTTCATTGTCATGTAGTTATCTTTCGGATTACAGGTTGATTTATTCATTTGCTTTAAGGGACTTCAAGATCGGAAGACCAAAGGGAGGTATTATTTTAGCTTTTAATAAAAAATTATATAAACATGAATTATTGAAAATTTCAGCAGAATTGTTATCAGTTAGAATCATTTCAAAAACAGTTGAGCTTATAATAATTGTATTGTACTTATCGCCTTTATCCCCCCTTTGCTCTTCTCTAGAGGAATTAAGTGTAGCTGCGCAAGAGGCTGTTGCTCGGTACCCCCAATGCCCGATACTAATAGGTGGGGATTTTAACTCAAGAGTAGGAGAGTTAGGGTGCGATCTCATGTGAGCAGAATACGTCGACCGAAAGCAGAAAATTATGAGAGTGAAAAGAACAACAATATCTACCTATCTCTTTTGCACTCATGATTTTCTGCTTTCGGTCGACGTATTCTGCTCACATGGGATTGCACCCTTAGGCTCTTTGACAAATGATATAATCACAGAAGGTATAAAGCTGAATTGTAATAGAAGCTCTGCTGATATATTGGTAAATGGAAGGGGAAGGGATTTAATTGAAAATTTGGAAGAAACAGGTTTTGTACTATTAAATGGTAGGAGTTTAAGTGACAGCCCGGGCCAGTTTACATATCAGGGTAAAGGTTCTTCTAGCGTTATAGATCTAGTTGCATGTGATTTGTTTCATTTAGATATTATAAAAGCTTTAAAAATTCTCAATATTGTTACTGGTTCTGATCATATGCCTGTTATAGTAGAAAGACGTCTTTCCCAAGAAAATAATATAGAGGATAAGACAAACATACCAGAAGTATAACGTTGGGTTGATGAAAAGGAACAAGATTATGCTTCATGTTTAGAAGTTAAGTTTAGTAATTGTCAAAACCAAGATATTGTTGATTCTTTTAATGATAGTATAATTAATTCTATTAAAGATGTAGCTCAGACTCTTGGATTACAGACGTGTGTCTCTGACGGTCTAAAAACATTTGTGCATAAAAAACCCTGTCATGATAGAGAATGTACTTTAGCAAAGCGAAGGGTGAGGAGACTATTAAGAAAATGTGTGAAGCAGAGATTTATGAATTGTGAATATGTAAATAAATATAATACGGAAAAAAAAGAATATGAATCTTTATGGGGGATAAACAGAATAAATATGAGAAGTTAATTATTAAAGAAATTAAAAAAACTCGGGATAGTAGACAGTTTTGGAAATTCATAAATAAATTTAGAAACAAAAAAGCACCATTAAATTGTATCTCGTTACTAGAGTGGTTTCAGTTCTACAACACCCTCTCACCACCCCGCGCTTTACTAGAGTTAAAAATGCAAGATGCACGGCACCCAGTATTGGATGTGGAAATTGACATAGAGGAAATTGTAAATAGTTTGGGAAAATGGAAAACAGGTAAATCTCCGGGCCCGATGGCGTTTCTAACAAATTTTATAAATTTTTTCCACAGAACGGAATAGTATATTTGAGAAATCTTTTTAATAAAGTATTAGATGAAGAAAAAGTTCCTAACTCCTGGACGCATTCTTATACTATCATGTTGCATAAAAAAGGAGATTTAAATGAACCGTTGAATTATAGACCGATATCATTGTTAAATACCATAACAAAATTTT